AATGAAATAATAGCAAAAAATTTCCCAAGCATGAAGAATGAAAACTGGAAAATCAAATACAAGAGGCTTATAAGACACCAAATGTACAAAATTACGACAGATCTGCATCAAGACACATTATAATGAAAATGCCTAGCATACAGAATAAGGATAGAATTTTAGAGGCCACAAGAAAGAAAAATCAGATTACCTATTAGGGAAGACCAATTTGGATCTCAGCAGATTTTTCAACCCAGACTCTCAAAGCTAGGATATCCTGGAACAACATATACCAAGCTCTAAAAGATACTGGATGCCAACCAAGAATCTTATATCCAGCAAAATTAAGGTTCAAATTTGACGATGAAATAAAAACCTTCCATAATAAACAAAAGCTAAAAGAGTTTACAGCAATAAAGCCTGCTCTACAGAACATTCTTGGCAAAATATTCCACGAGGAGGAAATAAAAAACAACAATGAAAATCTGCAAAGGGAAGAACTACAATAAAGGAAAAGCCAACCAAAGGAGCTAAATACCAAAGCTAAATACCAAAATAAATAAAAATGACCTCCAATACAATTCATGTCTCTTTCAAGTCTTTCTGATAAACTTTTACACATAATTTTTTTTAAAGACAGAGTGAGAGAGAGAGAGAGAGAGAAAATTTTTTAATGTTTTATTTCTTAGTTTTCGGTGGACACAACATCTTTGTTTGTACGTGGTGCTGAGGATTGAACCCGGGCCGCACGCATGCCAGGCGAGTGTGCTACCACTTGAGCCACATCCCCAGCCCTTTACACATAAAAATTTTAACTACAATATTATTTAATTTTTCAGGTTTTTGTTTATTTCCTATTTTTTTCATTTTTCATTTCTCTTCACAAAGTTATACAAATATGTTCTTTGAAATTTTAAGCATTTTATATATTGTATTTTAATATATAATTAATCTGGTATGTGTATATACATTGCCTGTGATATGAGATGAGGCATATTTTACTCTCTTATAATTTAAAATCCATTATTCAAGATTCAAGGATGAAAAAGATCAATCAGAGTAAAAATTGTTTAATAAGGTATTTATAAAGGTAAGGGCAAGGTTGAGGGTAGCTAGCAAATTTTGTGAAGTACCTTTCCTTCTGTAAACTTGAAGAGGTAGGAGATGAAGTATGAGAGAGCCATTATGAAAAACTTGTAGAAGAAAGTGACCTAACTGAAGTTATTCCCACCAAAAGCATGTAGAAACCAATTCACAGTCTAATAGAGTCTTATAAGGAGGAACAAAACACCTTGTTCTACTCTTGTATATTCTAAGTTCATCCCTTTGATGTCCCTTTCTGATGGAAATCAACAAGAAACCACATAACAAGGTGACTTATCATGCAGCCTACAGTATATGTCTCACCAAAAGGTGAAAGATGGAGAAAGGAGCCAATATGGCAGCCATTAGTTACATGAGGCCACTCAGTATTTGAATGTGTTTAGTCTGAATTGAGGTGTGCTATGTGTTAAATAGACATTAGATTCCAAAGAATTATTAGGACAAAGAAAATGAACATAAATATCTTACTAATAATTATTTTCTTTGCAAATTATGTTGGTAATCCATCAGGTTAAATGAAAATATATTAAAATTAATTTCTCTATTTGCTATTTATTTATTTATTTATTTAAGGTGTAGATGGACACAATACAATGCCTTTATTTTTATGTGATGCTGAGAATCAAACCCGGGTCCCACCTGTGCTAGGTGAGCGCTCTACCACTGAGCCACAATCCCAGCTCCATCTCTATTTGTTTTTCAAAAAAAGAAGTAAAGGAGAACAAGGTAACATATTTTGAATCTTAATGGTAGTACTATATACCATATATATGTTGTCATTTTTTATATTTGTCTTATCAAAATTCTTATAACTATAAAACTAAATGGGGTAAACTGTACCATATATAAATTACATCTCAACAAACATGACTTTAAAAAAGAAATCTAGTTCATGAAGTGTTTTAACAGTATTGGGCATGTACTCACCACCTGATAAATAATGGCTATTATGATTCATTAAAACAACCAGCATCAAGCTGTTTCATAGTGGGGTAGGGAGGAGGAGCATGGGAGGAATAGACAAACTCTAGATAGGGCAAAGGGGTAGGAGGGGAAGGGAGAGGGGGCATGGGGTTAGAAATGATGGTAGAATGTGATGGATAGGATTATCCAAAGTACATGTATAAAGACACCAATGGTATACTTTGTATACAACCAGAGATATGAAAAATTGTGCTCTATATATGTAACATGATTTGTAATGTATTCTGTTGTCATATACAACAAATCAGGAAAAAGAAAACAAAACAAAACAAAAAAACGCTTTTAGCCTGACACAACCCAGTGGAGGGACAACAGGCCCTGAGTAACTGTCCTCAGAACGAATGAATGTTTGGGAAAGAAAAAAGGTGTTCCCAAATCAATTCTATGGGTAAGTAGTGGGCGAGGACCAAACCTGGGTTGGACGACTGCTCAACTGGCATCGTTTCTGCTGCATCAAGGAGTGCATACCTGTTGGGCAGCCTGGAAGTACACTGAGGAGGATGCTCAGATTCTGAGAGCAGGACTGATTAACAATGTCTTGTCCTGGCATGGCTAGGGATCAGGGATACACGAGTGGCCATCTGTCTCACATTCCAGCTTAGCACCATCAAGTCCCCTCCCTCAACAGGCACTGATAGACAGTTCTGAATGAAAGGGTGTAAGTTAGAATCACAACCTTTCAAAGCTTGCTAATCCCTTTCTCCCTCTGGCAGGCCACCCAAGTGACCCTTCCTCAATAAGCAAATGTCCTTACAGGGCTAGGTGCTGGAAAAGACACAGATTAAGGTCCCTGCCCTTATGAAGTGTTCAGCACCTAAATATTTCCTGCTTGGTCACTGGGACCCTGGCAGTGGGTTAGCCCAGAAGAAGGATTATGAGGATAGATGCAGGAATGAGGACCTGGCTGCTAACTCCCAGGCAATACCTTTGTCTATAATTCCCTGAGGCAGTTGATTCCAATGATCTAAATATTTCTCTCCAGGTATGCTCAATGGCAGTCAGAGGCAGCCAAGTTGGAATCATATCAAGGGCCAAGCAAGCTCATGCATTTACTTACCAGGCAGAGTGCTCATAAAGGAATTGGCAGAACAGAAAGATAAGTTATTCCAGGAAGTAAGGGCAAGCTGGGCAGGAACCCAACCAGCATATGGAATCTTAGCAGATACAAATCCAACATCTAGTTAGATCTGGTGGATTGCCAATAGGAAGCCATAGGCTTTTCTCTCCTTTGATGGCCCTTGGCCAGGGGAGAGAACCAGGGGCAGGGCCCATTGTTGTTTCAAAAGACAAGATCAGATTCCCACATCCCCTAGGTTCTAGTCATTGGACAACCAGGAAGGGAGCCCCTGCTCAACATTTCCCTTTGGGAGATGCTAAAGACTCATTTTGGCCTTCAATAGGTTCAGAGCTGACTGACATGGCCAGGAGTGTCTCCATAGGCTGCTCTTTCCATAAATTATGTCCCTTTGAGGGCACAGGTGCTCAGGAAGATGGGACTATGTTCCCATCCTGCTCTAAAGACAGGAACAGATTCAAAGGGAGAAGTCAGAAGCTCCAGGACACCTAGGAGGTCAGACTTCATGATGCTGGGACTGGACCTAAGTGTGCCTCATTCTAGGACCTGAACAAGCCTGGAGAGTGGAGCAGAGGGGACAGTTTCATCCTCCTCTCTGGTCTTTCCTGGCCAGGTCCACCAGGGAAAATTGGACCAAACTCCTTGCTAAGAGTCAAGCCTGATTAGACTCTGGATACATGGGAGCTTTTATATTAGTAATATAGGGTATCACTTCCCAGAGGAGTACGGAAGATAAGGCCAAGAACAGCCTCCAGCCAGATGGGAGAAAGAAAAGAAACCCTGTGGGTTGTGCAAGTCAGTTCCAGTGGTGCCTGAGCACTGAGCAATTAGCATATGAACCAGAAGTAAAGAGGAGCCTGGGCCTGACACAGGTTCCTGTCCCTGCACAATACCCCAGAGCCCACAAGTCAGCTCTACTTACTTTAATGCCATTTCTGATAAAGAACACTCAGCTCAGGCTAGATGCCAGCTCTCTGGCCTGCATGCCTAAGCTGTCCTCACTAGCTGCTGCCCATGCTGGGGTAACCTGCCCAGCAACAAGCTAGGCCCTTTCCAGGAAGGATCAGAGATGCCAAGGGCACAAACCAATGTCTGCTTATTGATGACTTGTGAAGACAGAATGCCCATAAGTGGTTGCCAGAGATGAGCCTCCAGTGAAGACGTCAAGTTCTTCATCTATCCTCACTCTCAAACAAAAACCATGGACTCCTCCCTTTCTTTCTCTTTCTCTCTCTCTCTCGGGGGAGGGGCTAGGGATTGAATCCAGGATTGCTTTAGCACTAAGATACGTCTTCAGCCCTTTTTATGTTTTTATTTTGAGATGGGGGTCTCACTCACTTGCTTAGGGCCTCGCTAAGTTTTCTGAGGCTGGCCTCAAACTTAGAATCCTCCTGCCATAGCCTCTCAAACAGCCGGGATTACAGAAGTGTGTCACCACACCTGGCTACCCTCCCTTTTCCCCCTCATTTAAATCCTGATATCTGGTGTTAACAGTGTTTTTTAACCCAGGAAGAAGGAGTCACATTCCAGACAGACAAAACATTATCCTCCTTTCTCCTGGTCTGTTAGGAGGAGAACCTAAACTGGCAAGAGTATGAGGGAGGAAAATGGGGTGCTCTGGATGTAACTTGACAGAAAAAGAAAGAGGCAGCTGAGAGATGGTGACTGATGCTGTCTGGTGGAAGTAGAGCATGTGGGGACACCCCTGCAACTTCACCCTAAAGCCTCACATGCAGAACTAGGTTGTGCCTTGCTAGGATCAGGGAGCACCAGGGCAACATGTCTCCTGTACTGGGCTAAGCCATTTGCTGAAGATGGGCTCTGGGTCTGGCCCTGTGTGTCCCCAGGCCACACTCACCTCTCCCTTCTTCACTGTCATGGACTGTCGTCGGGGTGTGATCTCTTCATTGATGCTGGACAGGAAGTTCTGTGAGATGCGAAGGGCATCCTGCAGCAGGGAATGATCGGGGTGGCTGGAAGGGGTGTGCTTCAGCAAGTCCTGCCCCAAGTGGAAAGACTTAATTTAGAGAGTAGAACTGGCATGGACCCACACTTGGTGTTAACTCAGAGCTTCTGGCTCCTCAGGTGTCACTGCTATTTCTCTCAAAGGGCCTGGGCTTTGCAGTTAGTGCTTGTAGAACACCATCCCAGAAGCAGGTCCTAAATGGCACTCCAAGAAACACATGCCATTTGTACAAAGCCAAAAGGAGTTTCCACTATAAGGTTCTAGGGTAGGGTTTCTGAACTTTGGTGCTGTTGACATTTTGGACCAGATAATTCTTTGTTATGGTATGTGGTAGGGGGCTGTCCTGTACCCCATAGGATATTTACTACCACCCCTGGCCTCTGTATACTAGATGCCAATAGCACTCCGTCTCTGTAATTGTAACAACCAAATATGTCTCTGGACATTGCCACATGTTCCTTCGGGAGCAGACTCAGTTTTGATCCAGAATCCCTGGCCTATACAAGGACAGGAGAAAGCCCATGATCCTTCTGGCTCCTCCTCCTTTAGATGAGAGTCTAGGCTTTTTCAGATGGAAATACTGATACCTTCTCTGCTAGGAATACAGATCATTTCTGCTCAAGGTCAGGTTCAGATAAACATAATCCCCCTTAGATTCCAAATCCCATTTGCAAAGAGAACCTGGAGACATGAAATAGGAGGAAGGCACCTGGGTTGGCAATGAGAACACATCCCCCCGCCCCTCCCCCTCCCCCGCTCAGGGGCAGATTCAGTTTTTCCCTACCATAATGCTTGGCTAGGTGCACACTTGGTCCTGGATCAATCACAGCAAGGGGGCAGACTGAATTGTCTTAGTCTGACAGGTTATCTGCCAGAGCTTCTGAGCTGCATAACATTTCCCCCCATTCCAAAACCTTTTTTTTTGAGATGGAGTCTCGCTGTGTTGTCTAGGCTAGCCTTGAACTCTTAAGACTCAAGTCACCATCCTGCCTCATCCTCCTCCAAATAGCCAGAATTATAGGCGTATACTACTGCGCCTGGCTCTCCATTCAAAACACTTTTTAAAACAATATTTATTTTTCAGTTGGACATAATACCTTTATTTATTTTTATATGGTGCTGAGGATTGAACCCAGGACCCCATACTTGCTAGCCGAGTGCTCTACCACTGAGCCACAACCCCAGCCCTCAAAAACTCTTAATTAGAGCATGGCAAGAAATTATGAAACATCTGGTCAACAGCATATTATGCTTAAAAAAGAATAAGGTGGGCCTGGGGTTGTAGCTCAGTGGTAGAGTGCCTGACATGTGTGAGGCACTGGGTTTGATCCTCAGCACCACATAAAAATAAATAAATAAAATAAAGGTATTGTGTCCATGTACAACTAAAAATATTAATAAAAAAAAAAGAATAAGGCATAGCTGCTTGGGCTAAAGTAGAACAACCTCTATGGTGTGGTATTAAATGGGAAAGAGCAAAGTGTGAAACACATACACTGTAACACATTCTGCATAATTAAAAGAGATGTTCACGTCTGTTAGCTCATGCATACAATCTTTCTGGTGGTGGGCTCCTTTGCGGGGAAGGAGCAGGCAGGAAATGAATATGTCACACACTTGTATGAATTGGTTGTAAATGTTTTTTCAAGTGTATGTGAAACTTACAAATCATACTAATAGGGTCTCCAAGGCAGTAGGACTTGGATTGTTTTTATTTTCTGGTTTTGTTTCTCAGTATTCATAAAACCCCATTAGTGACTCCCCACTGAGGTGGGATCTCCCTCTGCTCCTTTCCCGTAGCCTTCAGAATGCACGGAGCCTCTGGTCCCCAGTCCTGTTTATCTCGGAGTCTCAGTTCATACACTTTACTGCCTTCTCCATCTTTAAGCCCCAGTCCATATGGGACAGGATGCTCCCACCCTGCTGTGGGAGAGCCTGCTTCTGTTCTCCCAGCATCCTCTCCTGTGAGACCCTGGACAGCAGAGGCCCCTTATCTCTGCAACCTCAATAAAGGTTTGTGGGAGAGGAAGGGGTTGGGAGTAGAAGCGTGGGCAAAAGGTAAGTGTCAGCTCCAGGACAGGAGAAACAAAGGGCCCAAGGTAAGAAGGCCACACCTAGTTGGGCATGAGGACAGGGAAAATGCCCAGACCAACTTGGGAGGCAGCTGTAGTGCCTCTAAGATATGACTCACATGAAGGACCAGCGTGCTTCTTGTCACCCGGTCCACAGGCTTGTAGAGCAGGGCTGTGGAGAGACAGGCAGGGTGAGATGATCACACCTGGTGAAAGCAGGATACTCAACCACTAGTGCTGCAAAGGGGAGGGAGAATGGTGCAGCCCCAACCTCTACAGGTCCCACCTGACCTCCGCACAAGTGATGAGGGCAAATCCAGAGCACCTGTCTGCCATGCTCAAGCTTTAAGTCTAGGACATCAAATACAGAGTATGGAGCTGCTGGTCAGGCCCAAACCCTCAGCTAACTTGGTGACAACATCCAAAAAGGCTCAGTATTGATACTCCTGCCACCTGGGGTTAATGAGGGCCCCAATCCTGGATGGAAATCTGTTCTCGATCCTAGAGGGTACCCTGGGAGTAGACCAGCATGCTGCTCTCAATGTCATGCCTGGATGCTTTGCAGGCCTGGTTCTGAGGAGGGCAGGAGCCAACATGATGCTGACATAGCTCTCAGTCTGACAGGTGCTCTGAGATGGGAACCTGCTGAGGATATCCAACCTTTAGTGGTAAAGAAGTCCCAACCAGCCTTGGCCACCTGTGTTTTTCTCAGACAACAGGGAGCACAGCCCACCACGAGCATAGATGCTTAGGTGTTTTCTGACACATACATTTCCTCTCTTGACTCCCACGATCAGTGTTGGGCATTTTACAGATAGGGAAACTGCAATTCACAGCAGGGATAGAGAGTAAGTAAGCTCTGGGGATTGACACTACACGGGCTGTTCTCTGTGAGTGAGCAAACTATTCACACTGTCCTATCAAAAGCAAGAAATGACTTTCCATTCCTGACTCCACTTTTTAATCAGAGTGCAGAGGTTAAACACAGCCCTGGGAATCCAATCACTCTGGATTTAAATCCTGCCCAGCTACCTAGAACCTATGTTTCACTTGGGCTATTTTATGTTTTATACCCATTTTGTCGTCTGTCATGTTTTAAATGTGTGCCCCAAATTTCATGGGTTGGTAACTTAATTCCCTAAATTATACATGTTAATTGTATTTGACAGGTGGAACCTTTGGGATATGATTGGGTCAGGAAGGCTCTGTCCTCATAAATGGGTTAGTCCATTCAAAGAATTAATGGGTTGCTGAGGGATAGTTTTGTTATCAAAGTGAGTGCTCTTTGGCACGTTTACTCTCTCTCTCTCCATGGGATGTCCCATGCAGCCTTAGGACTCTAGAGAAGTCCTCAATGGATACGGCTGCCTGATCTTAAACTTCTCAGCTTTCAGAACTATGAGCCAAATATACCTTTATTCTTTATAAATCACACAGATCTGTGGTAGTCAGAGCAACAGGAAATAAACTAACATCTCATTTTTTTTGGTACATTGGGGATTGAACCCAGGTGCTTTACCACTGAGCCGCATCCCCAGCCCTATTTTGTATTTTATTTAGAGATAGGGTCTCACTGAGTTGCTGAGAGCCTTGCTAAGTTACCGAGGGTGGCTTTGAACTTGTGATCTTCCTGCCTCAGCTTATCAAGTTGCTGGGATTACAGGTATGCACTAATATCTAATTTTATCTCTAATGCCAAGCTAATATCTCACTTGAAAGAGGAAAAAAATAAAGTTCTTCTTACAGGGCCACTGGGCATGACATAATGGTATCTAAAAATTTTTTCAGATGAGATCTCACTACATTGCTCAGGCTGGTCTTGGACTTGCAATCCTCCTTCCTCGGCCATGCCATCACAGCTGGTATGATCACATTTTAAATACCCAGTAGTGTTAGTTTGTGGGTGCTTGCTGACTCCTATAATTTTTTCCTGATTGCTACCGTTGGTGGCAAACTGGTCCTGACCACATCCTTCCCATCCTGCCATACTCAGACCTTCTCTTTCCTCATCTCTCTCAAAATTTGAGGTCCAGAACAGGGAAGACACAAGGGGAAGACCCAAATAGGCACCACTTCTGCTTTTCCAGTAACCATCCCCATGAAGACACAAAGAGGCCCTGCATGGAGAACAACTCACTTTCCAAAGAATTCTTGGTGGCTGGGTCCTTGGCATCCCTGTTGCTTCTGGCTCTCAGGTTCTGCAGAGAAAAGAATGTGCTTACAAGAGATGGCTAAAGCAGCCTGGAAGTGGCACAAAATTCTACAGTCAGGAATATTTGACAGAAATCATGGCCTTCTCTTCCCACAAAGAACCCCAGATGCAGCAACCTCAGGACATTCTGAGAAGCTGAATGAAAACCCATATTGTGACCCATGAGCAAGCGGAGCATGGATGCCCCAGACACTTAGGACAGGATTTCTCGACTTCAGCACTGTGGACGTTTGGGGCTGGAATTCCCAGTCCTGTGCAGCAGCCCCGTGCACTGCAGGAGGCTGAGCAGCATCCCTGGTCTCCACCTGTAGGTGTAATTAACATACCTGGCCTCCTTTTATGAAAACCGAAAATGTCTTTAGGCATTGCCAAGGGTCTCTTTGGGAACAAAATCACCCCTTGGTGAGAACCTCTGATACAGATAAGCCTGTAAACACAGCAAACTTCTTTCTTGGAGCAATTCAACAGCATGCAGGGAGCTGGCCATTCAGAAGAGCACTCTGGTTTGGCATCAGCCAGGGTGAGCCTGCTACTACCCATATTTATACCGGGTGCTTCACCCACCCTCTTGGGTGGAAATGTATAAATATACTTGCTAAAATATGCAAATGTACTTGCTCTAAAATAAGGTGGTAAGATTCCCGTAGAGAGAGCAGGGCTTTTACTGGATAGGTCATGTTTCAACACAGCTGCTTAAAAAGGATCACTGATTTGATCTAATGTGCTAAGAGAAATGAGGATAAATGATCCCCATGTCCCTGAAATCATCCCCAGGAAGCAGCTGTGAGGAATCCTAGTACTAGGCTTCTAAATAAATGCATAACCCACCAGAGAGATGGGAAAGGATTCTGGGATTGCTCTCCCAACCTCTTGTGCTGCAGGAATCCTTCCAGGCCTGTAAGATAGTGACTCCCAGCTCACCGGAGCCAAAACCCATCATGCACTTTGGTACCTTTCCTGAGTTAACATCCCTTGCAGTGACTGTTCCTCCCTACATCTGACTCAGCAGTTTCCAAAGGATGTGAGGGGGTGTGAAAGTTCAACAAGAGACTCTGCAAAAACTAGGTGCTGAGCTCACATGAGCCTGGGAGGCACCCCCACTCCACATGTCCCTGCATGGGGCAAGGCACAAACTCTGGGATATCCTGCTACAAGGAGCCTTAAGAGTTTGGTTTAACCCCACATTTCCCAAACTTACTTGGTTCCAGAAACCCTTTTCATCTAACTCACATTATTTACTGTCTGGAAGCTGGTGTCCCACAGAACCCAGAATGTACAACTTCAGTGTAACTGGACGCTAACTCACGCTTAGCACTGGTCCCAGGAGAAGGTGAAGAACCAATACCCCTCCCCCTACCCTGTATTTGACCTCCCCCAACCCTGTATTTGAGTGTGAATCTCAGATCCCTTGCCCAAGCACTGACCTCCCAAGACACAGTTTCCCATACCACCACACAGCCTGCTGCTTCCTCTTTCTTGAGCTTGATTTTGCTCTCTTTGGGCCATTCCAATTTCTCTGGATCATTTTTGAAATACAGAAAACCAGCATGGATGCTGCTTCAATGGTTTAGGAATCACAAAGATTCAAAGAGCACCAGATTCCAGCAGGCACCAAGCCACCATCCCACTCCTTGCATCTCAGCCTTGGCTCAGATTCTCACTTAAGACCTCAGGGGGACCACGTGACCTCCCTTGGTCATGTCCCACCATGGCTTCTTCCCTCCTCTGTAGAAACCTGTACAGGTGGACTTGAACTGGGCTTCTTAACTGCAGCATGCTCTTTAAGGATCAATTCTTTTTGTTGTTGTTGTTCTAAATAGTTATACATGATAGTAAAATACATTTTGACACATCATACATAAATGGAGTATAACTTCTCATTTTTCTGACTGTACATGGTATAGAATTCAGTGGTCGTATAATCATACAGGCACACAGGGTCATAATGTCCGATTCAGATTTATCAAGGTCACTTAAAATTTGGTGCAAATATTCTAGCTGATAAAGAGTGTGGGGGTTTGCTAATTGAATGAAAAAGGAGAAGAAAAGAATGGATTGAGTGCTTTAGGGGGAATAGGCTGGCAGGAAGCACAGAGGCCTTGAGGCATGCAGATCTTGTTACTTGCAGCACTGGGCAGGGACTGGAGCACCCTACGGGCGTAGGAGGGACAGTGTGGCACAAGTTATCACTGTTGGAGACAATCAGAGCTAGGGCCTCACACCCAGTCCCATGATAAATGATAAAATGGCACAAAGTCTCTGGAACAAAGCCCAGGTGTGACCTTCAAGTGTTGTCCCTTGGCAAGACAGACAAGGCTCATTCCATGTTTCTAGTTTCTGTTTCTCTTTTTAATTCCACATTTCTCACACTAGAATCCTTGTTTGGTGGTGGGGCGGGTGGCGGGAGGGTGGGGGGTAAGGCAAGTCAGAGCTTTGGGAAGTATCTATAGGCAAGAGTGAGGGCTGGTGATATAGCTCAGTGGTAGAGCACTTACCTGGCATGTGCAAAGCCTTGAGTTCAATCCCTAGTACCACCAAACAAATGAATAAAAAATAATAAGAAAAGGCAAGAGTGACAACAAGCCTCAGCAGAGGACTGTTTCATGGTTGCCATTGGCTCTGCAGAGATTCAGATAGGGCATCTTCTTGCCCTTTCCCATCGTATCTGAAGAAATGGAGATGCAGGGATGCTGCTGGGTTCTGGACTTGGCTACCAGCCTCCTGGGTGCCCTATTCATCTTCTCTGTATCTGAGAGACTCTTTTGAGAGTCTAACAACACTCCATGGTTTAAAGTTTCAGACTCCCTGGGGCTAAATGCAAAGAGGGAGGCCACAATTCCCCCACACATGGGGTGGTATGGTTCTAACCAGAAGCTTTCCTTCCCATGCGCATCTACAGACACAGCAATGCAAGCCCTCACTCCCTTGTGCTGGCTCCTTAACGTTCCCAGCTTTCATGGTTGCTGGTAGGCTAGAAAAGGAGCAGAGGAGGACAACTCCCAGCTAGTCTCCAGTAACAAGGTACAGAGTCAGGACTCCTGTGATAAGACACAGGGACAAAATTATAGAAACTACTCACTGCAGACAGATGGTGCAAGAGAGCGTCTGGGTAATATGGTTACTATGGTTTGAATATGTCCTTCAAAAGTTCATGTATTAGAAATTTAATTAGTTCATGGTACATGAACCAAATTGTGGGGCTAATGGGAGGTAACTGTGATTATATAAAGTCATAAGGGTAGAGCCCCCATGAAGTCATTAGTGGCTTTTTAAGAAGAGAGACATAAGCTAGCAGGATTGCTCTGTCCCGCCATGTGATGACTTCCACCATGTTATAATGCAGCAAGAAGGCCCTCACTAGATGCAGCCCCAAGCTCTTGGACTACCCAGACTCTAGAACTATGAGCCAAATAAATTTCCTGACCCCTGGAATAAGCCCCTGACCTTTGAGGGGATGGGGTGCTCTCAAGGCTGCTCCTTCTATCTGGTTATAGTAGTATCCTGGGTGTGAAGCTGACGGAGCACACCCAGCAACATCTGTGTTCAGGGCTGTGGTTCATGACCAGACTTCAATTGGGCGCACTTTGTTCACCCAGGTCAGGTTCTACCAACAACCAGCCCACAACTCATCATGGGAGGTGGTGGGCACGAGTGGGAACTGGTGGTGCTCCTATCTACACAGTGTCATGATAATCATTACCTCAGAGATTTCTGCAAACTGAGCGTTGGCCTGACAGCACTTCTCTGCTGTTTCCATGGCAACCCCATAATTGTCCACAAAGGCTCGGTACACACCCAACTGGCTGGCCTGCAGGGAGGAAGGAAGAGAGTATTGGACAAGTGAAGGACAAGTGTGGGACATATGCCATTCCCCCCCCCCCCATCTTTCTGAAGACTGGGCTCCTCTACACAGTTCTGGAGAAATTCAAGGTAAAGCAGACAGTGCACAGGCTACAGAAACCTCAGCTCTTCCATGCTGTTCCTTCCCACCTGCTTCCCCTCCCCACCCACTGAGCACGCTTCCCTCTCCTAAAATGACATGTTGAGAAGTGACTCACATCCCTGAGCAGGTAATGGCTTCCTTCCAGAGCTTCTAATTCCTCCCACCCCATTCACTTCGACAGTATTATGAGTAGCAGCTTAAGTTTGAAGGAGGAAGTGAACATGGTCAAGCATTTCTCTCTCAGCAGATAAGACCGAGTGGATGGCACCTTTTCATTCTGACTGCAGGAGGACATGGATGTTGGTGGACCCTGGTGGCCATGGTGTTCTGTTCATGTCCAATCCCCTCAGACAGATAAGGAACACTTAGCTCCTTGTGGAGAAAAGGAGCTCTAAGAGCTCAGACTCAAACCCATCCCAGACCTGGCTGGTAGACAGGTGTCATACTGCACACATGGCAGATGGGAGACTTGCTAGCTGTAAGGTGAGAGGTATTTCCTCACTGAGCCTCCTGATCGGATGCATACTCAACTGACCCTTGACTTCCATAGGTGGGTGAGTGAGAGTGAGTAGCCCTCACTTTTTTCTCTAGGTCCCATGACATCTTTAGAGACAGCAAGAAGGAAACCAGTCCTCACATGGGACCAGCAAACCCAGGCCTGGGTAGGGTAAGGAGAGACTCAGGAGACACCCAGGCCACTGCAGCTGACCAGGAGCAGGAAGCCTGAGCATTTGCTGTTCTTGGCACTTGTTCTATATCAAACTTAAATTTCATTTCCACATAGATTTGCATTTATATTAAATTTTATGTTTATAAATATGACAATTCCAGATACTGGGTAAACCAGGTGCCCCTGGCTAAAACAGGCCTGATCTTCTGGCTCTGTTCCCTATAGCGTTAGCACAGAGAACTATGGAGTATCTGAGGAAAGAGTAGGGCCAGAGGATGTCCTGCTCAGCTCCTGAATACCCTGGAGAAGTTGCTGCATACTCGAATTCCAGATTCTTCCTCCAGTACAATGATAAGACCTAGGGTGTCTTCTTTCCCTCCTCCGGGCTCCTTTGCTGCTGAGAGCCTACGTTGAAATTAAGGCCCTGCTTGAGCCCCTGTCCCCATAGTTATGAATAATCAGACATAGGGATACCCTCTGCAGCTGGTGTTCTAACAGGACAGCACATGATAAATAAGTGAGCAGACACATACAACTGCAAATGGTCAAGGCGGGCTAGGGATGGAGAACAATGGCACTGTTTTAGAGAATGTGGGCAGGATCAGGATACCCTTCTGGAAGAAAAGACTGCAGAGTAGAGTCTAAAGTATCTCAGGAGGAGAACCCTTTCAAGTCTTCTCTTCCTTTCTACCCAAGGAATTCACCACTTCTAGGTGTGAAAAGTCTCAAGTAATTCATTTCCATATGTTTAGCTAATCAAAACAAACAAACAAACAAACAAAAAACCAAGCTGCACTGATAATGGCACGATGCCTCCAGACAGGGTGCACTGAGAAGGCTAGATCCCCATTGCTGTGATATTGCTCTTTACCAAAACTCAGAGCCTGAATCTGTTCCTGAGGAAACGTCTGAAAAACTGGTCTGCATCCTTCAATAAATGTCAAAAGTCAAGCTGAGGGCTGGGGTTATGGCTCAGTGACAGAGCACTGGCATGTGTGAGGCACTGGGTTTGATCCTTAGCACTGCATACAGATAAATAAACAAAAATCAAGGTCCATTGATAACTAAAAATAAAAAATAAAAAGCCACTTCAGGGGCATGCTTATAATCTCAGCCACTAGGGATGCTGAAGCAGGAAGACTGCAAGTTTGAGAGCTTGGGCAATTTAGCAAGATCCTGTCTCAAAATTAAAAATAAAGGGCCTGGTAGCAGTGGTACATACCTGTAATCCCAGTGATTTGGAAGACTGACAGAAGGATGGTTAAATTGGAGGACAGCCTCAGCAGCTTATCAAAATTGTGTCTCAAAAATAAAAATAAAAAGGTCTGGGGATGGAGCTCAGTGATGATGTACCCCAGGACTCAATTCCCGTACAAAAACAAAAACAAAAATTTAACAAAACAAAACAAAAAAACCAAGTCATGGAAGATAAGCCAAGTCCAAAGAACTGTACATGACAATCAAGTACATCATGTGATCTGGACTGGATCCTGAATCAGACAGCAAAAACAGCTATACAGAACTTGATCACTAACTTGGAGGAAATTTGCATTGGGACAGCATACTGAATAATGTCACAATGATCTGAAATCTCCTGAATGTGACAAACTGTACTGTGGGTTATGGAAGAGAATGTCCTTGTTCTTAGCAAAAACACAATGAAGTATTTAGGGGTAAAAGGGCAGAAGCCTGCAACTTATTCTCAAACTATAAAAGAGGAAAAAGTGTGTGTGCATGCAGCATGCATAACAGACACAAGGCTAATGTCGTAAAAATGTTACAATCAGTGCATGTGGGTGAAGGTTACACTAGAGTTCTTTGTAATATTCTTGCAACTCTTCTGTAAGTCTGAAATGATCAGAAAAACAAAACAAAATGAAGCTGACAAAATTTCAGTCCTGCATAGTGGGCATGAGCTGTAGTGCAGACCCACAGGAAGGGCAGTAAAGGCAGGGTTTGAGTCAAGCTTTCTGTGCTCCCAGATGTAGCTCATGAGCCTCAGGGCGCAGGAGGAGACACCAGAGCTGAAGCAAGGCATGGCAAACTCCTTGCGCCCTAGGATTCTTCCAGCTCAGATGCCTAAGACAGTGATGCTGCATCAACCTTGCTGAGGTCTGAAAGGGCTGAGAGCAGGGCAGAATCTGCTTGTCCTTACAAAGTCACCACTCAACCCAGGTTGAAGGCATGTGAATATTCTGAACATGGTGACTAAGGAATGATGTCCCACTGTAGCCTTGGTCCTTCTTGCTGCAACATCTGAAGCAGGAAGGTGGCTCAAGGACACCAGGGATACCAGAGGAAACTTTCTAAATTAAAGTTCCAGGGCTCATGGATTATTACATTTTTTTTAAAAAAAGTTTCCGAGTGATTTTGGAATGTTATTCTGAGGAAAGAGCTGGTTGTGAATTTTTTCCGACAACATGATTCTGTTTCTGTGGAGGACTGCTGCCTGATTCCAATCCCCTAGGTTTAAAACCGCTGACATATTATGCTGAAAGAAATGGCAGGGAGGAACTTCAAAGATGAAGGGTACCTGCATTAAAACACGGCCTTCTGAACTCTGGCTGTGGGGAAAGCAGACTTGAGAGGCAAGAATTTGAACCAACAAGTGACTGGTCTGTCCCTAAGGACTTAGCTCCAGCCTTTAGGGCAGAGTGTCTGCAGCCAAAGGTGGTGCAGGAGGGGTTCACCAACAGGAAAGCCACATCTTGGAGAACACTTTAGCCTAGATGTTTGCCAAGCTGAGGCCAGAGTCTGTACTAGCTAGGTATTTAAACAGCTCAGAAAAGCTCTGTGTACAATAGAGGAGTCCAGCCTTTGGCTGCCCCTGCCCCTGAAGGACTGTGTCCCTCCAGAATGTTCCAGGTGTGTGCACAGGAGGCCCAGGTAATCCCAGAATCAGTGTCAGGTATCTTTAGAAACAGATTAGACCCTGACCAGCATCTGCCTTTGAGTAGCTCCTCCAGGATGGGAGCTCCCTGTGCTGAGGGGTAGCCTCTTTGCTGGGCAGTTCTTACACGTAGAACTCCCTCCTGCAACCTCCTTCTGTCCCCTCAATGTGAGACTCAGAAAGAGGTCATTTTACACATCATAGAACCTCACACACTGGAGGGCTAACAGCAATCCTACAGTCCTTCTCAGAGAGTTGGCTCCTTCATCCCAGGGCTACTTCATAGTTTCTTCCTTTTGGACAAGGTCTACCTTATCTGTGTCTGGGTTAGGTGTGCACCGGAACCCAGTAACTATCCTAGCTGTGGCCTGGCCAATATCAGCAATGGGTGGCCTAACAGCATGAGGCTGCGCCATGGTCCACACTCCTTTGCCAGGGATCCCAGTTATAAACCAATTCTCTCTTGCATTTCTCCAGCCTGTCCACTAGGATGTGTCCTGATTCCTGCAAGGTACAAGGATGTCACTGCAAAAGGAACCTCTCTAGATTAAACATGCCTCAAATCTCTGAGAACAGCTGCCTTCAGGAGCTTAGCACTACACAGATGTCCTGGGTTGATTATTTTTCTCTGCCTCCTTCAGTGCCTGAGGGCAATATTACCACTACCTTGATTTTTAATGCCCAAGTCTCCCCTCCCTAAGCCATCTTCTCTTTTTATTCTCCAAATGATTCAAGGGACTTTGATTAACATAATTGCAAAAATGAAATAAAATACAGTCATCCCTTTAATCACAGGATACTGGTTCCAGGACCTCCCTAAGGATACCAACAAATCCCTGGGTATCCTAACTAAATAAAGTAGCATAATACTTGCATACAATATACCCATATCCTTCTGTATGTCTTATTTAATTTTGATGCTAAAGATTGAATCTAGAGCCTTGCACATGTTTAAGCATGCATATTGTCACTGAGCTACACCTCCAGTCCTGCTTTTTAAACACACACACACACACACACACATACACACACACACACGCTGGACTCAAACTCCTAGGCTTAAGCAATCCTCCTACCTCCCAAATAACCGGGACTACAGGCACATGCAACCACTTTATTTATTTTATTTTGTTATTTTATCCTATCTTTTGCAGTGCTGGAAATCAAACCCAGGGTCTCCTGCATACTAGGCAAGCAGTCTACCACTGAACTACACCTTCAGTCCCCCAAATTGTATACTTTAAATCATCTAGGTTTGTTTTAATACCTAATCTGATGGAAATACTATGTAAATAGTTGTTATACTATATAGTTTTTTTTTAAGAAAGAGAGAGAGAGAGAAAGAAAGAAAGAAAGAGAGAGAGAGAGAGAGAGAGAGAGAATTTTAATATTTATTTTTTAGTTTTCGGCGGACACAACATCTTTGTTTGTATGTGGTGCTGAGGATCGAACCCGGGCCGCACGCACGCCAGGCAAGCGCGCTACTGCTTGAGCCACATCCCCAGCCCCTATACTATATAGTTTACAGAATAATAACAAGGGGGAAAGTCTCCACATGTTCAGTACAGATGCAATTTTTTTTCCTGAATATTTTTAATCCTTGGTTGGTTCAATCTGTGGATGTAGGACACACAGACACAGAGGGCTGATTATATAACAAAGCCCCACTCTGTTTCCACCTGCTGTCCCCACTGTTGCCTTTCCAGGCAATGCCCAGCCTCCATTCATCCTCTACCCAATGTACAAGTCCTGCTTTCCTGAGCAACAAAACCAATTCCATTCCAGGAGCCCTCAAAGAGGCAATTAGATCACTCTGGAGACTGGGAACTTCAAGCAAAACAGAGCAGATTTAAAAAAAAAAAAAAAAGGATAGAAGGATGCCCCACTTATTGGATCTAGCTGGGGGACATGCTTATTTTGGCCTCTCCCTCACCACATCTGAACTTTGGCATCCAAGGCACTGAGATGCACTCCAGACTCACTCCTACTATCTCCTCGGTATCTCCTTACAGCACATGTTCATAGGTCACTGGACAGGCCTGGTCCCCACTTGGCCATCCCCATAGCCGTAAGCACCCAGCATGCTCTAAGTCACTCACCAGTTTCTGGAAGAGGTCGCCCACCCGCTGCTGGTGGCTCCACTGCTGCACTCGGGGGAACAGCCCATCATAGAACTCCTTGTGGATTTCATAGAGCTCAGGCACTTTGAAGAAGATGGTCTCGATCTGCTGGCTGGTCAGCACAGGCTGAGAGGTGGTGGCAGCAGCTTTCAAAGGCTTCATGGGCTGGAAGAGGGCCCAGTGAGAGGGCATGCCACTAGTTAGGTACATGGGTACAACTACAAAATATTGTGGTTATATGATATATACTTTAATTGTGTGTCTGTCTGTCTGTCTCTCTCTCTCTCTCTCTCACCAGGGATCAAAACCAGGACCTTGGGCATGTTAGGCAAGCAGTCTATCACTTAATTACATTTCCAGCCCACACTTTTAAACTCCAGAAAAAATTAAAACTTGGCAACCAAGTCTTCCCTTGGCTTTCCTTCCACTGGCTCCTTGGGGGAGGTCAATATTCTATAAAAATAGACTGTTCTGACCCTCCCATAGGTGTGCCCCCAGGATCTCACAGTTGACCTGGGATGATGAGTAGAGAAGTTCCCCTTGGGTCCCCACCATGCTTGGTCAGCCCCCTCCTTCGTCCATCCTCACCAGTAGAAGTGCCTCCAGATGGCTCAGGTAAGTCTCCTCACTAGCCAGGATTCCAGACAGGACCCATTTTCTCATCTCCAGGCCCTTTTCCAAGTCCAGTTCACTCTGCAGAACAGATGAACAGATGTTGGCACCAGGGTGGGGTGGGGGTACGGATGCTTGCAGCGGGTGCTTGTCAACCTCTGGATGAGTCCCTGGAGAAGGCTCCATGTAGAAGTAAAAGTGAAACACAGGAGCCTTGACACATATTCAGCCACTTGCTCAAAGTCACTGCAAAATTAGAAGGGTCATCAAGCAAAGTTGAGGGCCACCCTTGGTCTCGACACACTAAGAAATGGGAAGTTTGGAGCTGAACAGACTATAAGGCCTCCTTCCCTCATGCTCTGTGCCTGGGACCAAGGAATAGTTATCTTTACCTAGTCAAGAAAGGGAAAGGAAGCTCTGACCCAAGGTGAATACAGGTCACAGGAAGCCCAAGGGCAGCCCCAGAAGAGACCAAGTAGAGGGGGCATCAAAGTCCACTACATGGGCACCTCCACACAAGCCCACCACTCCCCACTCCTCACCTGACACCTGTCGCAACTGGATTCTCTGACTGCCACTCCCACCTGACCCTTGGACCCACTAGAACCAAGACTGGGCAGCAGTACCTCCCTCCTTGTACACTCCCCTCCCGGTCAAAGGGACTGGACCTGGGAGCTGCTGCCACCTGCCCAAGGGGAGCCCCATCTGCTGGCTCCTTGACCCTGTTTTCTAGACTCTGACTTTGCCTATAGGAACTCCTTTGCAGGTAGACTATAGTAAAATCAATCCCCTTTCTTGTCCTGTCTCTGCTAAAAGTCCAATGAAGCTCTGCCCCCAGAAAGAGCTAAGGCATCACTGGATGTCAATGCGGAGGGTACAGCCCACATCCCTGAGAGACCATGAACCAATCCTAGTTATGATGGTGATAAGGGCTTAATTATTGCCTCCCCCAGGTCAAATTACTAAGCCCTAGTACCTCAGAATATGACTGTATTTAAAGAGGGGATGAAGTTAAGCCAGGAGCAGGGGCACACACCTATAATTCCAGTGGCTCAGGAGGCTGGGGTGGAAAGATCACAAGATCGGCAACTCAGTGAGGCCTTACGCAACTGAATGAGACCGTATCCCAAAATAAAAAATAAAAAAGGCCAAGGATAGAGCTCAGTGGTGAAACACCCTTGGGTTCAATCCCCAGTACAAAAAAAAAAAAAAGCCAGGGGGGCGTGGTTTGAAGTTAAAATGAAGTCAATAGGGTGGGCCCTAACACAGTATGGTTAATATTTTCATGAGAACAGACTAGGACACAGACACATGCAGAGAGAAGACATACGAAGAGCCAGAGAGAAGCCCCATTAACCCATCATAAGTCAAGGAGAGAGGCCTCAGAAGAAACCAACCTGCATATCATGATCTCAGACTTGCAGCCACTAGTACCATGAGAAAGTAAATTTCTGTTGTTTAAGCCGCCCTAGCATACCGGCAGAGATGGTCATGCTAAAGGCAATAAAAACTGCTATTTGACTTCCTGGCCACTCCCACCTCTGCTCCCTGGCCATGGGTGGCGTCAGAGGTTGGCTGTGGCCACAGCACCACCCTATTTGGCATCAGACTGAGGCTGTGCTCCTTCTGCCCAGCCCTGAGCCAATTGGCCTCACCTATAGTTGAGGGAGATGCCAGCATGAGGAAGGACCCTGAATCCACTGAAGGTGATACCTGCCCACTCCTCTGCTGGTTTCCAGCCCAAGGGCAAACCTGAGACAACCCCACCATGACAGCCCTCAGGTATGTAACCAAAACAGTGGTCCTATCCATCGCTTATATTCCTAATCTACTTGGGGGGAAAAAACACTGATTTGGGGCAGGATCTTCACCCTTGATGCTGATGACTAAGAATGGAGGATTATTTTTGGGGGGTGGTTCTGTGCCACAAATGTTTCTAAATGTTGTCATATGTTGCCTGGAGGCTGACATCCCCAGTGAGAACACTGGATTTGAAGAAAGACCACCTAAAGCCAGCTCAGGCCTCATGATGTCTTCAGAGTCTAGACTCATGACTCCAGTGTGCCCCAACCCTGCTGTCTCTCTTCACACTTCCCTGGCCCTAGGAGAGGGAGGCACTTCATGGCACAGATGGCAGGCCCAGAAGAAAAGGCCCAGGCCAGGAGCTGGGAGACAAAGCCAGAACTTCCCCAGTGAGCTCCACGGTCTCAGGCAAATGACCTCCCAGATTTGAGCCTCAGCTGCCTGGGTAACAGGGCAGGGAGAGTCCAATCCCTGTGCCCCACTTGGGTCACTGGAACCTGTATCATTTCTTCACTGCTCAATGGGACCATCTAAAAAGGATTCCTGGGTCTTTGCTTTGTACTGGGGCTCTTGTGCATGTTCCTGTGTGAATGTACACATGAGCTGTGAGCATGCACGTGTGTGTGCATATATGTGCATGTATATACATGTGTTGGCACATGCATGTGTACAGAGTAGCTAATGTTCCAGGGAAGGGACACTGAGGTCCCACCCACACAGGTCCCCCAAGGGCACACTGTGCAGTGTGGCTCCATGGGTGGGAGCCTCCAGGGCATGGCTGTGCCCAATCTTGAAACTTCCTGTGTCTAGCACAGGGACTAGAGCACACAGTTCTCAATTAAGATTCATTTCATAATCAAATCAGTGAGTGGATCTTGAAGATATGACTAGGTTCTAGTTTTAGCCACATTTTCACAAAGTCCTGAAGGTCTCAGTACCCTTGTCTGGAAACAAGTGGGTTCTCAGAATTTAGAACTATCAGCTGACTCAGTGTGTGTCAGGGGCAGATTGGGGGAACTGAAGTACTACCGAAGTTTGGAAAGCCCACTGTCCACAGTATACAGATGACCCTCACATGCATCCTATCATGTCTGAACACTGCTTCCATCTTACACAAGGGAAAAGGTGAAGGGAAAGGCAGGCCTCTCTGGCAGTGGCACCCACTCACCTACTTACCCAGCCCTGCTCATTGGGTTCTGAGAATAATCTTGCTACTGTGAGCTCCAGGGACAGAAGGGCTCAGGGAAGTTAGTAGGAAAGCAGGGCTGGGTGATGGCCTCACCCAGCCCAAGATGCCACTGCCTTTCTGGGTGGGAGCCCCTGAGTGGGAGCACTGTGCCTCATTCCACTCACGTGGTTTGGAAAGCCAAGAGGAAAAAGAGCACAGGCAGGATGGCACTGAGTCCAGTTCTCTCTGTTCTAAAGGGTGGGGCCACTCAAGAGAACATCTGGCCCCAGGAAGGTGCTGGGGTATAGAGAGGACACAGGATGAGGGCACTTCTGCTTAGATTGAGACTCTTCTATGGGGACTCAGAATGGTACTGGTAGTATTATCAGGGAAAACTCAGAAACCAACTCCTTGTAGAGAAGAGGGTGGAAAGGGAAAGAGCGAAGGGGAGGGCCGGCCCCAGAGCTATTTATAATCCCAGGCTGTGCACGTGCCAACTCCACGAGAGGGTGAATGCAGTGAAGGCAGGGAGGCTGTGCTAGGAAAAAAGCTGGCGGTAAAGGACAACTGGAATAAAGCAGCAAGATGGAAGGAAGGCCCTTCCCTGCTAACCAGGGGCTGAAAAAAGCCAACAAAGAACCAATGAAAATGACTTGGACTCACAATTATAACAAGGTAGGGAAAACTGACAGAGGGGTGGAAGTGGATAAAACCACAGTACCACGTCCAGAGGTAAGTAGAGGGTTGGGCTGGAGTACAAGGAGTCCCCTCTTAAGCGCCCCCAGACCCCTCAAATCTGGGAGAACCCACTGATAATCAGGGTGCAAAATTTCTAGCTTTCAGAGAGTTGGCTGCTTCTGGCTAGAAGGTTGCTCCCAGCATAGCAGCCAGACAAAAGACCCTCTTCTGCTCTGGGCAGGGCAGGGAGGAGGCCAGCCAGTGAGCACTCTGGGGGTTTGACATGGACAGAAGACAAGAGGATGACCTCTTGTAGGGTCACATGCTGGGGAGGGGGCGACCTGCTGCAGCAAACCCTTGGTAAATTAGTCCTCCATATGGGAAGATCCCAGTATGCAGGGCAGGCTCCATTAGCATATGTCTTCCCAATAAAGGACTTGTTTGAGGTCTTCTTGCAGCTCCCAAGGCAAAGGAGTGCCTGGCCTTTGTCCAACCCTTACCTAGCTAATCTAGGGGCAATGCTAACAGAGGAGACTTGCAACCTAGAAGCCCACTGTGGACTCCCTGTGTTGCCATGACTTCCCAAGAAGGTTCAGTCCCACAGCCCAAAAGCCTCAAGCATGGCAGCAGAAAGCAAATGAAGAGCCCTATTCAGTAAGTTAAGGAAAAGAGGGATGAACAGATACTTTGATCCCACCAGCTGATCAAGATCAGAGTGCTTCTAGCCAAGACCATCGTGCTCCATGGGGAACCTAGGAAGTGACAGTCACATCTTTAAACCAAAAAGCCAAGGATATGCCTGTCTCTCTGGGGCTTCAAACACTGGAAAGGGCATCTAACCAGAGAGCTGCTGGAATGAAACCATATAACTTTGCTCTAATCAAGTTCCCTCCTTATGCAGATAACTCCTGTCACCTCCTCTGGGCCAGGTAGAATGTTTGGGATTGGGGACTTGAAACCGCATTGCACAGATGTGCAACCTCCTGCCAAATGTGTAACAGAAGAAATGTCAGGCTGGGGATTTAGCTCAGTTGGTAGAGTGCTTCCCTCGCATGTACAAGGCCCTGGGTTCATTCCCCAGTACCACAAAAAAAAAAAAAAAAAGAAAGAAAGAAAGAAAGGAAGAAATGTCTACTGACTCATGAGGGATTGAAGGAGGGACCAGGATCTGAATGGGCTCCGCAGGAGATGAGACCCTGAACTAGGTGCTAAAAAGGAACCATGAGCCTGGTGGATGTGGGATGGTGAACAGCACCCAGCCTGGAGCACAGAGAGGGCAAATAAACTTCTACTTAGGAACAGAAAGCCAGCCAGGAAACACTCTGGGGGTCTGACATGGACAGAAGGCAAGAGGATGGCCCTGCCATCAAGGAGTGACCAGGTGAAGACAGTCCTCAAAGATGATAGATGGTTACAGAAACTAATAAAGTATGCTGTTAAGAATTCTTGTTGGTATCAAACCACACTCATGTAGCAGCAAGACGGAGAGACAGGGAGAGAGAGTCCATAGAAGAATCTGAAAGATTTCACCCCTCACAGCTGTGCCTAATCTGTAGAGTGGTGACTCTGAATGTGGGATATGAAGCTGTGCACGATGGCAGCAAATGTATGCCGGCTTCCTCTTTCATCTTTATATTTCAGAACAAGAAGCCCACCCAGCACTGAGACCCCTAGAGATCACAAAAACATAAATAAGAAGCTGGCCTGCAGCTAAGGCAACAGCCCCAGAAAAAAGCAACTGTAGTAAAAAGATGTGCTTCTGGCACTTCCCTACAGCAGTAGGAAAAGGCACACCCTTTCTTATTCTTGTTTGTTTTCTGTGGTGCTGGGTGTTGAACCCAGAGCCTTGTGCATGTTAAGCATGGGCTCTACCACTGAGCTATACACACAGTCTTGCTTGCTTATTTTTATTTTTAAACCGAGGGTGGAATCATTCAGAAAAGCAGAATGAAGAAGATATCCAAAATGGATATCCAAAATGGAACCAGAAAGACAAAAAATGGCATAAGAAACAGAAAGGAGCATCTGTTCTACCACAGTGATGATTGTTGCAGCCCAAGGAAGGAAGCCAAGAGGTCAAAGGAATCCTTTTGTTCCAGTGAAAGGAGGAGCAATGCCTGAACCCAAAACACTGCTAAAACTCTCCTGCTCCCTGCCTGGAGCTGTGGGACCACTGCAAGCATCAGGACATCAAGCCAGGCTGGACAGGCCTATCACTTCTGTGGGAATAACACTGCATAGCCTATGATCATCCCAGGGATACATCCTCAGACGAGAGGGGCTAGACCATGGGGCCCTACTTGAAGCACAGGCAAAGCATCTACCAAATGCTTTAACTTTTCTCTAGCCATGTGACCTCAGGGAAGCCACCTCTGGACCTCAGTTCCACAATAGTAATGTGGAGGTAACAGCAACACCAGTTTCATAGGACTATTAATGAGGGTCAAGTGAGAACTCCTTTGAAAGACCCTAGTCAAATGGATGAAGCCACTGTCAGGGGCTCCTTTAGTAAAGAGGGAGCCAGTGTACCTCTTAAGCACAGACACAGGAGCCCAGACACCAACTCAATACCATGGTTGGGACCACCATACAGTACCACAGGCTTAGGTGATGGTCTCTGGCATCAGTTTTCTCAGCCGTAAGACCACATGCTGACTGCCTCCTCCAAGCTCAGTTTACAAAGTGTTCCATGACCTCTCTGCTCAAGGTATCTGGTAGGCATCCCTCTACCAGAGGCAGGAAGGAGTTTTTAGTAATTTGTCTGACTTCCAAAACAAACCACTGGCAGCTCCACCATCTACTTGCTACATGCCCCTGAGTAACCGGCTATACTACAGAGAGCCTCCAGGATGACAAAGGCTGGCCCAGAGCCATGGGAGGCAGGTACACCTTGGGGACTCACCGCTTTGGTGGGCTCCAGGGCTCCTGAGGCCAGAGTGTCCCGGCTGCCCCTGCCCTTGCTGCTGAGGTGGGGAGAGGAGGAGGGTGAGTCATCGATGTAGGGCAGCCCATCTTGGTGCCTGCGCTGCTCCTCAGCTCGGTCTGCGGCGCAGCTGTACCCAGGTGATGTTCCAAATGAGGCATCTGTGTGTGCAAAGAAGCCTGTATTAGAAACAGACTAGAGGACAGAGGGCTGTCTGCTTGGAAGCATCCACACTCCATCTATCCAAACAAGCACCCAGGTCAACACCATTCTGTCACCCATAGGAACTTCAGGTACACTGATTTCACTTTCTCAACAACCAGCCCAGGACCACAAAGGTAAGGAGCTTTGCAACTCACTCCCAAACAAATACATGACTGGGCTTTCAAACATTGTCTGGGGCACAACTGACTTTGGGAGGGAGATGCATGTGACATACTAGGACATAATATTTGCTCTCTGTATACATATGTACATCCTTTCCTAGCATATATCTGTTAAAACTGTTGGAATCACCAAAATGACCCTAGTGTCTTGGTATATGCTAATGAGATGCCTGGTTGATGAGCTCTCCTGGAAAGCTCAATGAGAGCTGTTGCCAGGGGGACCAACAATGTGCTTTGAAGGCTGGAACTTTCAGCCCCACTCATGTATCACCAGGAAGAGCAGAGGGGGCTGAAAGTTAAACTGATCATCAGTGGCAAATCACTTAATCAATCATGCCTATAGAATAAAGCCTCTGTAAAAACCCAAGAGGGCGTGGAAGCTCTGAGTTACCCTCTCACACCTTGCCCTGTGTGTGTCTTCATCTGGCTGTTACTGAGTTATATTCTTTTCTCCAAACCCCAGGATGCTGGGGATTGAACCTGGTAACTTATGCATGCTAGGCAAGCCCTCTATCACCGAGTTACATTCCCAATCCTATATATGTATTTATTGGTATTGGGGATTTAATTCAGGGATGCTTTACCACCGAGCTACATCCCAAGCCCTTTTTATTGTGAGACAGGGTCTCGCTGAGTCACTGAGGCTAGCTTGAAACTTGTGACCCTCCTTCCTCAGCCTCCCGAGGACAGTAGATGGGATCACAGTCATGGGCCACCATGCCCACTTCTGAGTCGTATCCTTTTATAATAAACTGGTAATCCAGTATGTAAACTGTTTTTTTCAGTTATATTAGTCATTCCTACAGATGAATGAATACGAGGGGTTTGTGGTAATCTCAGCTTATAGCTGATCAATGGGAAGCATAGGTCACAACCTGAAGCTTATGGCTGGTGTCTGCATTGGGGCTGGTCTTGTGAGACTGAGCCCTCAATCTATGGGATTTGATACTATCTCCAGGTAGATAATGTCAGAATTGAGTTAAAATTGAATTGGTGTCCACAGAGAACTGAAGAGTTGCTTGATGTGGGAGAAAAACCCATTTGGCCACGGAAGTGTTTTGTGTTGAATATGATCATATAGAAAAACAGTTTGTTTTCCCCATAAAAGAGGCATGGGCTAGTACAAAAAGGAGGACCTCAAATGCTACCTTTCTATCAAGGGCACCAGGCTCATCTCATCTGTACAGATGGTTGGGATACTAAATAGGCGTTTACTCTACTGCTGTCACCCTTACTCCCCAGGCTACAATCCAAAACAAGACTCTTTCTGGGACCCTCCTGTGGACAAACACAGAGGCAGAATGTGGTGTAGCTTTTGTGGTCAGCAGATATGTGCAGACATCCGGAATGTACTATAGATCAGCTTGGCAGCATAGTGCCAGACACTGGATGGAGTAACCCAGAAAGTCTCAGCTCACGTCGCCTGCTAGACTCTCTGGAAGCTCTAACAATTACCAGGGCCCATCTGTGTTGATACTGAAACTCCCCAGGTGAGACTAATATGCAGCCTGGCTGGGTATAGCACCAAGTCCTGCTGGGACAGAGAGGAGATAACCTGGAAGAGACAGAGGCATGTGAGGAAGCTGGGATATAGACTATCCATGGATGTCTGCAGCTGGCAGCAGATCTCAGCCTGAGACCACAGACTAGCATGCCAGCCCAGGTGCAAGTACTGACCACCACAAGCAGTGAGTCTCAAAAGGGCCTACCAGTCTCAGTCCAGGGAACCAGGGTTGTAGTCCACCCTCAGCTGACTCACAGCCCACCTCCCAGCTGGTCTGCCAAACTCTTAGACCACCTTTACCCCAATCCAAGTACTCTTGGCATGATAGAAAGTAGCTTATCCTATAAGAGCCTCTCTGTCCTTTGGAACTATTAAGTTACACAGAGTCTCGAATGCTTCCCTAAGGCACCTGAAAACAAATCACTATCTCCTCCCAGGCTGATGACAAAAGTTCAGATCTTAGCCACTTGTAGCTCCTCTATATCCCATTCCTAGCCTGAATTTTCTGAGTGAACCCCTATTTATAGACTTGTTAAGTCCACAAGAGCCCAGCCCAGTCCAAGTCACTCTTGATGATCCCTTCTCCACTCTTTCCAAAGGGTACCTTATTGGTCCCCAGGATTTTCCAGAGGTCATCCTCATTATGTATGTCATTTTTGCTACTGCTTACCCGTAAGCAGCCCTGCCCTGAGGATACCACTGTCACCAAACACACCTAGACCAAGTGGGCATGTGGCCACCCTTGGACTTCTGGAGTAGTTGACCCAGCAATCTCAATGAGGAGTGTTTTCAGTTCTTTTCACATGAGCATTTTGAAGGAAGGAGCTCTGTGGATGGAGCAACCAACCACTGGTTAAGACTTCTGCTAGCTGTGGGCAGCCACAGATGGCTGATGTCCTGACTTCCTTGCACGCCTCTGCTTCTCTGCCTGTGTCCCAAGAGGACTTGGCACTCTCTAACGCATGTCCCCAGACCTGGCTGCATGTCAGCATCACTTGGGAAGCTTCACAAACATAACACAGCTGAACCCAATAAAGACCCACTGAATTTGAAGCTTTGGGGCAGCCTGGGCCTTGGTAGTTATAAAAGCTTTCAGGGGATTCAGCAGGCAGCCAGAGCCAAGACCTGCTGGGCTACTCTATCCGGTGTCTGGCACTGTGCTGGCTGCCATGGAGACCCACAGCATGTCCTAGTGTCTGCACACAGCCACTGACCAAAGGCCAGGCCAGAGTCTCCCTGTGTGTGTGTATGTCCACAGGATGATCCCACCAAGAAGCTTGTTCCAGGTTGCAATAGTAGTAGGTAGGGAACCCCCAATAGCAGGATAGGCTCCTACTGAGTCCTCCAATAAACTATATAGAAGACCCTTATCTCTTCAATCCACCAGGCACCAAGATCACAGTGCTGGCTATCAACACTCTGCTCCAGTGGCATTTGGGTTTTGTACTCTACCAGGACAATCCAAGGTCAAAGCCAAGTTCTCCTCCCAGGGTTTCATGAAGGCCCTAAACTAGCTCTCTGATAGCATCCCTGGGGAAAACTGAGCAGGGTTCAAACATATTAAAATATGCAAACCCTGTTAAAGCCAAGCCCAAATCCTACACCCCACCCCAAAGAATAAATCTGACTTTATTTTCCACTAACTTTCAGGAAATCAGATGTTAAAAAATAAAATAAATACAAATATTGTAGATGTTGCCTACCCAACATTCACAAAGCATTACAGTTACCCCTACTTGAAACCTGCCCATCATGGGGAACGGCTTCCAAAGGCAGCCCAGGCCTAAGACAGAAAGTTTCAGCTGTCAAGTGAGGAACCCAGATAGTCTCCCAGGCCCATAGGGTCTTAGCTGTACCCCCTAGGACTCCTCTAGGTGAGGAAAATGGGCAGCTTTCAGAGTTGTGCTATCAGCAGTGAGGCTATGGTCCTCCTTGTTGCCACCTCTCTGTGTTAGTATGGTCACAAAAGCTGTCCACACCTCAATTTTGCAAGTGTTAACATCAGGCATGCAGGGGCTGGGGATACAGTTCAGTGGTAAAGCACTTGCCTAACCTATGCAAGGCCCTGGGTTATGGAACCCCAGCACTGGAAAAAAAAAAAGAAGAAGAAGAAGAAGAAGAAGAAGAAGAAAAAAAATCAGGCACGTTAACTAGACAATCCATAAAGACCCACCAGATCTAAAATGCCACTGTCAGTTGGGCCTCTATTCCTAACTACTCAGGAGGCTGAGACAAGAGAATCACATGTTAAAGGCCAGCAGCAGCAATTTAGTGAGATCCTGACTCAAAAAATAAAAAGAGGACTGGGGTTGTGGCTCAGTGGTAGAGCACTTGCCTAGCATGGGTGGTGAGGTACTGGGTTTGATCCTTAGCACCACAGGAAAAAAAATAAACAAATGAAATACAGGTATTGTGTCCATCTATAACTAAAAATATTTTTAATAAACAAAGAAAAAGAACTTGGGATGAAGCTCAGTGGTAAAGTGCCCTGGGTTCAATACCCAATATCAAAATAAATAAATAAATAATAAAATGTCATTGTCACTATTTCAGAAAGGATCAGTCATCATCTCCTAGGCCTTCAACAAATTCCTTACCCTCCCACCACCTACTTCCCCTATATACCTGGCTTTTACATTAACTCAGAATCATTAGTATATGCTAAATGCTCTAAGAATCCCTTAACTATTGTTTTCTTTTTCTTTCTTTTTGTATCAGGGATTGAGCTCAGGGGTGCTTAACCACTGAGCCACATTTCTAGTCCTTTTTATTTTTTGAGACAGGGTCTCACTAAGTTGCTTAGGGCCTTGCAAGTTGCGAAGGCTGGTCTTGAACTTGCAATCCTTCTTTTCAGCCTCCCACCCATGTATCACAGTGCCCGTCTATCAAGTTTTGCTTTCTTTGTAATGACAGTCTCCTAAGAAGCCAACATATTCTTCCTCACCTGGTAGAGTGCCTTGAGTTCCATGCCACCAGTGACTAAGCTGACTCACATTCAAAGTCAAATCAACACTAAGGAGGTTATCAACCCAGTAAGAACTTCAAGTCAAAACTTCAGGGTCCCAGAGCTTACTCCAGATGAATGGCAGGGTTCCATGGTTGTGAAACAACATGCTGGTTTAGCAACTTCCTCCAGGCTAAAACCTGACGTGGCAATCAAGTTTCTGACAAGAGTTAGTCCGCTAGTGAGTGGAGTAGGACTACAGACTCTGATGTGGACACTTCACTCCCACTAAGAGACTGAGGGACCAGATTTCACAACCAGACTGCT